GGGTGTCCTGTGTCACCCTGGAGTGTCCAAATTCAGCATGCGGTGTCCTGTGTCAACCTGGGTTGTCCTGAGTCGTCCGGGGTGTCCTGTGTCATCCTGGGATGTCCAGTGTCATCCTGGGTTGTCCCGTGTCATCCTGGATTATCCTGTGCCCTCCTCGGGTGTCCTGTGTCATCCTGGATTATCCTGTGTCAGCCTGGGGTTTCCTGTGTCCGACTGGGGTGTATTGGGTCACTCTGGTGTGTCCTGTTTCAGCCAGGGGTGTCATTTGTAATGCTCGGGGGTTCAGAGTCAGCATTGGGAATCCTGAGATATCCTGGCGTGTCCTGTGTCATCCTGGGTTGTCCTGAGAAAGCCTGGGGTTTTGTGAGTCAGCATGGAGTGTCAGGGGTCATCCTGGGGTGTCCTGTGTCATCCTGGGTTGTACTGAGACATCCTGGCGTGTCCTGATCCAGCCAGGAGTGTCACATATCTCCCTGAGATGTCCTTATTCAGCCTGGGGTGTCCTGAGTCATCTTGGCATGTCCTAAGCCATCCTGGGATGTCCTGAGTTGTCTGGGGTTGTAGTGAGTCAGCCTGGGGAGTCCTGTGTCATTGTGGTGTGTCCTGAGTCATCCCTGTGTGTCCTGTGTCAGCTGTGGTGTCCTGTGTCATCCAGGGTGTCCTGCGTCAGCCACGGGTGTCCTTTTTCATCCTCGGGAGTCCAGAGTCAACATAGGGAATCCTGAGACAGCCTGGCGTGTCCTGAGTCATCCTGGGGTGTCCTGTGTCACCTTGGAGTGTCCTGGTTCAGCCTGGGATGTCCTGTGTCATGCTGGGCTGTCCTGAGCCCTCCTGGGTTGTTCTGAGTCTTGGAAAGTGTGTCCTGTGTCATCCTGGGATGTCCTGTGTCTGCCTGGGTTGTTTGATACATCCTGGGAAGTCCTTTCTCATCCTGGTCTGTCCTGTGTGTGAATGGGGTTTACTGAGTCACTCTGGTGTGTCCTGAGTCAGCCAGGGGTGTCATTTGTTATCCTCGAGGGTCCAGAGTCAGCGTTGGGAATCCGGAGAGATCCTGGCGTGTCCTGAATCATCCTGGGGTGTCCTGTGTTACCCTGGAGTGTCCAAATTCAACATGGGGTGTCCTGTGTCAACCTGGGTTTTTCTGAGACGTCCGGGGTGTCCTGTGTCATCCTAGGATGTCCATTGTCATCCTGGGTTGTCCTGTGTCATCCTGGATTATCCTGTGTCCTCCTCGGGTGTCCTGTGTCATCCTTGATTATCCTGTGTCAGCCTGGGGTTTCCTGTGTCCGACTGGGGTGTATTGACTCACTCTGGTGTGTCCTGAGTCAGCCAGGGGTGTCATTTGTAATGCTCGGGGTCCAGAGTCAGCATTGGGAATCCTGAGATATCCTGGCGTGTCCTGAGTCATCCTGGGGTGTCCTGAGTCATCCTGGGTGTCCTGAGCCATGCTGGGTTGTCCTTTGTCCTCCTGGGGTGTCCTGTGTCATACTGTGTTGTCCTGAGTCATCCTGGTTTGTCTTGGGCTAGCCTTTGGTGTTCTGATTCATCCGGGGGAGTCCTTTGTTAGCCAGGGATGTCCTGTGTCAGCCTCGTGTGTCCTGAGTCAGCCTGGATGTCCTGAGCCATACTGGGGTGTTCTGAGTCATCCTGGGGTGTCCTGTCATAGCCTGGGATGTCCTCTATCAGCCTTGGGTGTCCTGTGTCATCCTGGGTGTCCTGAGCCATCCTGGGGTGCCATGTGTCATCCTGGGGTGTCGTGTATCATACTGGGCTGTCCTGAGTCATCCTGGTTTGTCCTGAGGCAGCCTGGGGTCTCTTATGTCATCCTGGGGTGTCCTGAGTCATCTGCGGGTGTCCTGTGTCATCCTGGATTATCCTTTGTCAGCCTGGGGTTTCCTGTGTCAGCCTGGGGTGTCCTGAGTCAGCCTGGATGTCCTGAGCCATTCTGGGGTGTCCTGTGTCATCCGGGGTGTCCTGAGAAATCCTGGGGTGTCCTGTGTCATCCTTGGGTGTCCTGTGTCTTCCTGGGATATCATGTGTCATCCTGGGTTGTCCTGTGTCATCCTGGGTGGTCCTGTGTCATCCTGGGGTGTCCTGTGTCATCCTGGGTTATCATGTTTCCTGAGGTGTCCTGTCTCATCCTGGGGTGTCCTGAGCCATCCTGGGGTGTCCTGTGTCATCCTGGGGTGTCCTGAGAAATCCTGGGGTGTCCTGTGTCATCCTGGGTTGTCCTGTGTCATCCTGGGGTGTCCTGTGTCATCCTGGGTTGTCCTGAGTGATCCTGGGGTCTCCTGCGTCAGCCTGGTTTGTCCTGAGAAAGCCTAGCATTTCCTGATTCAGCCTGGGGTGTCCTGTGTCATCATGAGGTGTCCTTAATCAGCCTGGGGTGTTTGAGTCATGCTGGGGTGTCCTAAATCAGGCTGGCGTGTCCTCTCTCCTCCTGGAGTGTCATGTTTCACCCTGGGGTATACTGTGTCACCCTGGGGTGTCCTGTGTCATCCTGGGTTGTCCTAAGCCATGCTGGGATGTCCTGAGTCATCTGGCGGTGTAGTGAGTCAGCCTGGGGAATCCTGTGTGAGCCTGGGGTGTCCTGTGTCATCCTGGGGTGTGCTGAGTCACCCAGGGGTGTCCTGTGTCAGACTGGGGTTTCCTGAGTCATCCTGGGATAACATGTGTCACCTTGGGGTATCCTGTGTCAGCCTGGGGTGTCCTGTGTCATCCTGGGGTATCCTGTTTCACCCTGGGGTGTCCTGTGTCACCCTGGGGTGTCCTGTGTCAGTCTGGGGTGTCCTGTGTCATCCTGAGGTTTCTGAATCAGCCTGGGGTGTCCTGTTAACTGCTGGTGTTGGATTCAGGTAAATGAAGCAGTAGAAGAGGTGACAGCTGATGATGACCTTGAGGTAAAAATTGACGTTGGAATTCATGTGACAGCTCATGATGACCTTGAGGGGGAAGGTGATGTTGGACATGAGGAGACAGCGGGTGAAGACATTGAGGTGACAGCTGTTGTTGTAATTGAGGTGACTGCTGGTGTTGGACTTGAGGCGACGGATGGTGATGATGTTGACATGACAGCTGAGGAGGGACTTGAAGTGACTGCCGATGATGCATTTGAAGTGACTGCTGCTGTTGTATTTGAGGTGACAGCTGGTGTTGGACTAGGGGTGACTGCTGTTTTTAAACTTGAGCTAACAGCTGGTATTGGACATGAGGTGACTCATGTGTGTCTTGAGGTAACTGCCGGTGTAGGACTTCAGGTGAATGAATTATAGAAGAGGTGACAGCCGATGATGGACATGAGGTGACACCTGCTGTTGGACTTGAGGGGACTTGCAGTGTTGCTCTTCTGGTGACTGCTTTTTTTTAGACTTGAGGTGACAGCTTTTGTTGGACTTGAGGTGACTGCTGTGATTGGACTTGTGGTGACTCCTGGTGTTGGGCTTGGGGTGACTGCTATTGGCGGAATGAGGTGAAACCTGATGTCTGACTGGAGGTGAGTGCTCGTGTTGCAATGGAGGTGACAGCTGGTGCTGGACTTCAGGTTACAGCTCGTGTTGTACATGAGGTGAGAGCTGGTGTTGGACATGAAGTGACTGCTGTTTATGGAAATGAGGTGACTGCTGGTGTTGGGTGTGAAGTGATGGCTGCTGATGGACATGAAGTGATTGATGGATTTGGAACTGAGTTGTTTGCTGCTTTTGACCTGAGGTGACAGCTAGTTTTGGACATGAGGTGACAGCTGATAATAGACTTGAGGTGACAGGTGATGATGGACTTGAGGTGACAGCTGGTGATAGAATTAAGTTGTCTGCAGGCGTTGCACTTGGAGTGACTTCTGGAAATGGAGTTGATGTGACAGCTGATGACAGACTTGATGTAACTGCTGGTAATGCAATTGATTTGAACGTTGGTGTTGGACTTGAGGTGACTGTTGGTGTTGGGGTTGTGTTGACAGCTGGTGTTGGCCTTGAGGTTATAAAGTAGGAATTGAGGCGGCGCCTGTGTTGACATAACAGCTGATGATGGATTTGAGGTGACTGCTGTGATTGGACTCGAGGTGACTCCTGGTGTTGCACTTGGTGTGACTGCTGAAGTCGAACTTGAGGTGAAAACTGACGTTTGACTGCAGGTGACAGCTAGTGTTGCAATTGAGGTGACAGCTGGTGTTGGACTTCAGGTGACGGCTGGTGTTGTCCATGAGGTGAGAGCTGGTGTTGAAATTAAGTGACTGCTGTTTATGGAAATGAGGTGACGGCTGGTTTTGGGATTGAGGTGACAGCTGAAGACGGACTTGAGGTGACATCTGATGATGGACTTGAGGTGACATCTGATGATGGACTTGAGGTGACATCTGATGATGGACTTGAGGTGACATCTGATGATGGACTTGAGGTGACATCTGATGATGGACTTGAGGTGACATCTGATGATGGACTTGAGGTGACATCTGATGATGGA